CCACCGCGGCTCTGCGCTGCGCCCGCGCCGCTGGGGAAGGGGCAGCGTCCCCCTCTGCCCCGAGGGGTTCGGCGGTTTGGGGATTGCTGCCCAGCCGCTCCGGGATCGGGAGGGGGATGCGTGCTTAGAGTGGCTCTGTACCCTGTAATTCTGGGTCGGTCACAACTTACGCTGTGTAGATATGAAAGAAGAGGCCAAGTTAGTCCCACTGGGTCTGTGTGGGCATTGGGCTAGCTGTTTGGAAATTATTGCTGGGAAGACGTGATTTGGAAGGCCCTGTTCTAGTTTTCAGTAGTAATGAGCCTGTAAATGACAAATCTTACCGAAAGCCTGAAAATAACAAATTGAAAGAGTAGGTTTAGCTTGGATATTAGGAAGAAAAGTCTTTACCGTGAGACACTGGAACAGGTTGCCCAGAGAAGCTGTGGATGCCTCACCCCTGGCAGTGTTTAAGGCCAGGCTGGGTGGGGCTCTGAGCAACCTGCTCTGGTGGGAGAATGCAGTTCAGCTTTCATTGTAGTTACGCTTGTGTGTTTCAAAGAGAAATCGCAATCTCCAGAATTTCATTTAAATTATTCTAGAAAATACAGTGATACTGTAATCATATGCATACCGTAACATTGGCAGGCAGGTTGGAACTAGAGGAACTTTAAAGTCCCAACCCAAGCCATTCTATGATTATATGGTCACCGTGCCAAGCACAATGATTCTGAATTAACGATAGGAGCCAAGTTCATCAAGTAGCACAGTGGTTATACAAAGGCTGTTTTCAGAAGATAAATGTTCTGTGAAGCAATATTGTTAACTGGTAATATTTAATAATTATCTAGTGCTTTTCATTCTTCACATTCTTCAGAAATTGCAATATGCACAGTGTGTCAAGCCTTATCTTAAAAAAAGCCCCAGCACCTCATGATGGAATAGGATGCAGTAAGGTGGAGTGACTCATCAAGACAGTGTAGTCAGTCATGGACAATCCCAGTTACAGTGCCTGATTATGTTTGCCTTTGTCTGATTCATTCTGCTTGTGCAGATTTGCTTCTAAAAGGTTTTAAAATACTTTATTAAACTAATGTATTTGTTCTAAGGACATATCTACTTGGGTTCAGAGCTGTGAATGTGAATGCTGTTGAATTGAGTGCATGTGAACAGGCAAGTGAAACTGACCGAAAACTCCTTTGAAATTCGGCTTGAAAGCTTTTTTTTTTTTCCAGTCAAAAATGAATGGACTTGTTTATTATGGTTTGCATATGTTTACATTATCCCTGTATTTTGTAGGATAATTTATATGAGATTCTGGAGATTGTGATTCTCTTTGAATCACACAAGTATAGCTATAATGAAAGCTGAACTGCATCCTTAGAGCAACTTAATTAGAAATTAAGTAATTTCAATCTTAGAACAGGAGGGGGAAAACTGCTTAAAGACAGTAGGTAAAAATCCTTTCTTCAGTCTAGTTAACAGCAAAATAAACCAACCCCAAATCAAAACCACCAAACCTTCCCCTCACTTTTAAATTCAGTAAATTAAGTCTGTGATAGGTTTTTAATTTTTTTTTTAGTTACTAGAATTATTTTAACTCAACACCTCTGAGTTGCTTCATGAAGCATGATATAATGATATCTGTAGAATCATTTGTATGAAAGTTGTCCACAAGACTAAAGAGTGGCTGGGGTTGTTTAGCCTTGACAAAAGGGAGGCTCAGGGGAGACCTTATCACTCTCTACAACTACCTGAAAGGAGGTTGTTGCAAGGTGGAGGTCTGCCAGAGTAACAGGTGACAGGACAAGAGAAAGTAGCCTCAAGTTGTGCTACTGGATATTTTGAAAATTTCCTTGATGGAAAGAGTTGCCAAGCATTGGAACAGGCTGCTCAGGGAAGTGGTTGAATCCCCATCCCTGAAGGTATTTAGAAGCCATGTAGATGTGGCACTTGGGGGACATGGTTTAGTGATCGACTTGGCAGTGATGGGTTAATGATTGGACCTGATGATCTTTACAGGTCTTTTCCAACCTAAATGAGCCTATGATTCTATAAAGGTCCACTTAGATAATTTGGATTGTTTACACATAAAGCTGTGCTGCTGCTCAATGATTTGCAGCTGGACTTTGTCAGAGAACCCTTGATTTATAGCCTTCAGCAAATCATTTAAGTGCTTTGTGTTTAATTTGCCTATCTATGACAGGTGTCCTGCTCACCTACACAAGGTGGTATAACTTTCCTTGGTATGGTTAAAGCTCCACAAGATTAAGGTTCCTCCTTAAACTTATGTATTTACATACTCTTATCATGAGAAGCTTGTTTTTAAATATCTGTTTGACTAAGGTTCTGTTAATGTTTTCATTTGCTGACAAATACACTGTAGGAAGTTGCAAGCTGTTGTTTTTGATGATGGTTTCTTTATTACTTGGTTTAAATTCATTTATTTGCGTTCTTTGCTTCGCTACTTTGCTATACATAGCCACAACACTTTTCCTACTTAGAGAGTAGGGCATAAATGCCACGAAGGACTGGTAGCATCTTGCCACGTGACAACTGGAGAGGTTACTCTAACTGGTCACAGTAGTAAGTCCACAAAGATGTGCACCTATGCCTTTACACAGATGTGTAACTCAGTATAGTAAAGTTTTGTGGCAGTTATATTGCTAGCAAATATTTTGTTACGCTCACACTTTATTTTGGTTTTGTACTTAGCAAGCTCTCAAGAGATGGCAGAAAGCTGGTCTTTCTTGGATACTGTTGAGTGTAACTTCAGGCCTCTGGTGGTAATTGAACTTGCAAAAGGCACCAAAGAGGAAACCATAAAATGGTTCACTAAACGAATTGTGGACAAAAAAGCAAATGGAGGTAAGTACAGTGTGACCTCTAACACTGTGAAATCAAATTGACTGTCAGTATAATATGAAGATGTACAGAAAATTAGTTTTCAGGGAATATGTGGTTTAATGATTGTTTAGCCAATCTCATTCCATTTTGCATTGTTGAAGTTAGTTAATTTTATGTAGTAGTAGACCTTCATGTCATGAAAATGTAATAACTGAACCCTCTTACCCCCGTTATTAATGAAAACATTGGCTTAAGGTCAAATGCCAATTGAACTCTAGAATCCTTCTGTTTTTGCACTGAAACCCTGATAACCTGTCTTTTAATGTAGCTTTGATGTCACTTTTGTAGCAGTTGTCTAGAGCGTGTTTCTCTTGTTGCTTACAGAAACATTGTAAGCCTTGCCAAGCCTCACATGCTGTCCATAAGCTTTGGTACTGTATTGCAGTATGAAGTTAGGTTAGCAGGAAGCAATTTAATCTTGATAAATTCATGTTGGATTATAGTTATATTTTTGGTAGTTTATAGGGTCTTGCAAAGACAATATTTCATAACTGATTTTGGTTTACTTTCAGGAATTGAAGTTAGGCTAATTAATATGTAATTCTTTGACCCTTTTTTAAACATTTTTTTTAGGTAGAAATTGTTTATGGCTGTTGTAGCTTATATCTTATGGTCAGTAGCATTTCCATGGTGGTTGGATTTGTGACTACAAACTTGCTTTCAGGCCTCTGCTATGTAAGTCAGGGATGTTTCTGTTTCAAAAGTCTAATCTTCTCAAAATGAGTGGAACTGTTTGCAGAAGTACTGCTTGTTTATGTGATATGAACATCAGGGGAGTAGATCCAAACTGTCCCCACTGTTCCAGTTCACTTTTGTGAGCATTTCCACAGAAACAGGGCTGAAATCAGGGGTGAGCCTGCAAGATTGTGACCACCACACATCAGGTGCCATTGAAGCCTTAATTCTTTGTGCCCTTAAAAAGAGGCATTTTCAGTGCTCCTGTTAATGGACCAATGTGATAGATGCTAAAATAATAAGAGTTTTAGATGTAATTTTACTATTTTTCTTCCTTATTTTGCCTTTCTATTCTTTGAAGGTGCACAACTGCTGATTAAACCATTGGTCACAGAAAATGGAGATGAAAATATTTATCTAGTTGGAGCTTCCCACTTAAGGCTGCTGCTGGGTGCTGAAACTGTGGGTTTGGTGAAGGAATGTAATGATAACTCAATGAGAACTTTTACATACAGCAGTAGGAAAACTTTCAAAGATTTTGAAGGTAAGCAGTTGTAAGGGTCTTTGTAAAGGGATGACTAAAAGATTAGAAGCAATTGCACTGCTAAGTCTTTCACGGACTTTGTATCCTTGGAATGACAACAGTGAACAGAAATAGGAAGACTAAGCCATGTCAAAAAATACTCATTTTTAACTATGGAAATTCAGATCATATAATGAATTTTTTTTTTAAATTTCACTTGGTTTTAATTTTTGCTTGTGTTTTCCTTTATGCTTTTCTATGCTCCAAATAGTCTCTTATTTGCATGAAAGACTTTTGTTGAAAATAAGACTAGAAAAAATAGCTGATAAACATGATTTTATGATTAACAACCAATGTTATAAATTAGCATAGCCATTTAATTTCTGTGAGCCAGTTTTGAGGCTTGTTATCTTATAATTAGCTGGAGAAAATAGAAACATTTTTATCTATTATATGTACACATCGAACAATTAAACAATTAATTAACACTACAGAGCCATTCAGCAGAATTTGGACATGATTAGTAGAATCGTTCCTTTTCCGCTTTTGTTTTGAGGACATGCCAACACAGTAAGATCTCCTTCTAAATGTACTGCATGTAGGGTATTTAACCCCCCCTGCAGTGGCTGAACTCATTTTGCTCTCCAGGTAAATACTGGAGTTCCACCTTAGTCTTGCTAGTACCTTTCACGTGCCTGTTTGAGTGTTGCCTTTCACCATGTTTCCGATATCAAGGTTCTTTGGTCTGTCTGAAATAATAACGGAGTCAAACTTTTGTTGTTCGATGGCAGTTCTGTTCACCACTGCTGCTGTGTGCAGTAATTGTTGCAGTGTCTCCTCTTTTGTGACCTTGCTTTTCTGAAATTGGGAGGCCTTCAGAAGAACAGTCAGTTGCCATTTCCGTTTTTCATGCCTTTATATTTTTCATGCATAGCTGACTGTCTAACAGAACCTCTAGGAGCAGCTGGAACTCCAACTGCTGTAAATATAAAATATATTTTTTGCTGTATCTCCTGGTATTTTTTCTTTTTAAAAACACTCAGTATTAAATTTCAGTTTTGTCTGGATCTGCTCAGAGGATAAAGTAGTTGACCATGCTTAGATGAGGTGAAAAACGTCACCTACAAAAGATTCCCTGCAGCCTGTGATGTCTCACTAGTATTTCTGGCTCTCCAGTTTAACTGATGCTATGTTGTTATTCTTTGAATTAGAGGTTTGCTGCTATTTTAGCTTCTCACTTAGTGTATTTAGGGCCATCCCTAGTTTCCTATTCCTAAGAGGAAAATAATCATCTGGTCACTATCTCAAGGAAATCAAAGTCTGCTTCCCGATGGTGGACAATAGGTTTGTTGCCATAGCTTTTCAAAATTTTCTGTTTTTCAGAATTTTTCTAATTGCTTTACCGTATTTCTGTATTTTTGTGAGAACTAATCATCTCAAATGGCTTATCATTATGTTATATGGGCAACAAAAGCAGGATACTGTGAATCTATGATATTTGGTGTGAAATGTTTACAGAAAAGATTTGTCCTGTCATCTTACTGGTTTTTGTTAAGAAAGTACTTTAGGCACTGTATGGCAGAAAGGGGAATGGAGGTTCTGAGATTGGCAAATAGTAGATTCCTAAGGAAGAGTCTTTCAGTAGGGCATGAGTATGTGGTACTTGCTGCATGCTGTCCTGGTCTCCAGCAATTAGTACTTCAGGGGTGTCTTTGTCTCTGGAGTCATTTGTTCTCTTAGTTTACCAGGGTAGTCAAAAACTCAGTGGCCAATATGTGCCAGTTAGAGAAGGCTCCTTCTCAAGAAATTGATTTTAAAAAGTGGAGTTTCTGCTAATGAATGTTCATTAGCCGTAATAGTCTGATTCTGGTCATTTGTTATAGTTATTTGCTGCCAGGGTTGTATTCCTACGCTGCACAATTTCATAGAGTCTTCTTTTTGATTTAGATGACAATCATGATTTCCTTACAATGGCAGAATGTCAGTACATAATCAAACATGAACTTGAAAATTTGAGAGCTAAAGATGAAAAAATGATCCCTGGATATCCTCAGGCAAAGCTGTACCCAGGAAAATCAATTGGTAAGCAATGTAGTTTGTTTCCTGTAACTCACTGTGTTGATGTATGATAGTGTTCATGATGAAAAAAATTTAATTTTCCTGTAACGAAGAGAAATCCTTCAGACATTCAAGTCCCACTGTTTTGAATCAACTTTGTTTTCTCACTGCTTCACAGTGATAGGACAAGTGGCTATGGATGCACAATGCAGCATGAGAAATTCTGAATAGATATTAAGAAAGTGTTTTCCACCGTAGGGTAATCAAACATTGGAACAGGAATTTAAAGAGATCGTGGTCACTCTGTCCTGGGACACTTTTAGATCTTCACTAGACAAGGCCCTAAGTAGCCCAGTTTAAGCTGGACCTACTTTGAGCAGGAAGTTGGACCAGATAACTTCCAAGGGACCTTCCATCCGTCTTTCTGTGAGGCTGAGGCTTTGGCCTTATGTTCTTTTCTGTTGGATAGTTTTCACATATGTTGACATCATCAATTCTTTTTAATTAGTAGCAAAGATATATATCCTTTTAATTTGATAATGATATACTTAGATTGTCTCTGTATAAAAATACTGGAATGAGTAACAGTGCTTCAAGGGTAAAAATTTCATAATACAAAGGACGTTTTATTTCATTTATTTGGTTTCATTGATCCTTCTCTTTGCTGCAAGAGCTCTTCCTTTTCATGGGAGAAAGAAGCAATGAGAGCTGGTGCTATTTTTATAGTAGCGGCTAAAACTAGTTCATTGGCAGAGATGCTATGGTTTCATAGGAGAATTTATCTTAATATTTGTATGTCTTTTAATTACAGTATCTTTATTTATTAGCTTTGGTAATCAAAGAAAGCAATCTGTGCATATTAGTGGGTTCAAGAAGTGTAAATAAACGTAGATGTCAGATGAATTTACATTGGTAGTTTTTTTATGTAGCCAGTGTTACTCAGCCAATGTTCTAGTTACGTCAAGCAGATGCTAATGGGAAATGGTAGAGTACTGTCACAATGCTTCCAGTGCCTCTCCTCCCCTGTTTTTGAATTTCTTTTCTTTTTCTTGTATGGTTGTAACTTTCAGAGCAGTTTGTTAATTGTTTATCCACACACGTAGTATTGCTTTCCATAACAAAGTTAAATACAAATTGTGGAATATATAGTTTGTTTTCAATGAAGATGTGTTGTAATTTATGAATTGGTGTAAACTGATAATTCAAAAATGTTTGTAGTATCTTTCCCATAATTAATACAACAATGGCTTAGTGGTTTTCCCCACAAAGCTACATATGGCATTTCAGTTTTGACCTGTAGCACTTTCTATTCCCGAAGCTGCAACTGATTGTATTGCAAACCTATGGAATAGTTAATAGATGTAAAAAGGTTGCTGTTTCTCCTCCAGTGGACAGCACAGTCTTTGCAGGAATAGGTGTAACTGCTCTCTGTAATGAATAATTTGTAACTAACATGCAGACTATTGATTAATTTTTTTTTAAGGATTTGAGTGCTAGATCTATTTCAAAGGAACTTTAGGCTTGTTAAGTACATAATGTAACTCATTTGCTTATGTCAACTTCACCTGTCCTTGGAAGCAGTGCTAGGTACCTTTTTTTTGCCTTTTTCCTTCTAGTGAGAAGATTATTGACCAGTGGAATTCTAGTTCAGATTTTCCCACTGCATGATAGGGAAGAGTTGAAAAAGCTCCGTCACAGCTGGTATGGCCGAGTGAAAGTTGGTTATCAACCTTTAGGTATGTGAACACTTACTCCACTACAAATACAGTGCAGGGTTTCTTGTGGAGGAGTCTTCTCAGTTTCTGTGATAAGATCAGAGTTCTTTCTTAACTTCTACTTCAGCGTTTAACCTTCTAGAGGAGTGAAAATCCTTTGTGGAAGGTAAGTATTGTACCAAGTCTTTTGTTTCACTAAGAGTTTACCTTTTTACATCCCCAATTACATATTGCAGTTCATCTCCCTGAACATTATCCTTCCGCCCAAGTTGCTTTGTTGGCCGTTGGGAATCCAAGTCCTTGTTTTACCCACACTTGCTCTTACTGATCTTGGAATCAACAGAGTGGCTTATGCCCTGATTAAGGAAGCAGCCACATTTCCAGACTTGTTGACATGCACAGTTGAGGTCTGTTCACTGAATTTGATTCTCAGATGGCTGTAAGATAATCTTTTGCTATAATGGCTGTCAGTACAAATGATCTGGAGTGAAGTGGTGGATGTCTCTAGATTTTCTTTCTTGTGGCTGCAGGATTTCTGTATGTAGGCCTTTGGTCATACTTTTCAAGTTGGAACTGAGGGACTGTCCAAAGGCTCAGGATTTGCACTGTGGTCATCTAGTGTAGTGTCCTGAAATTAGACCATTGCTCTTTTACCTGTTGGACAAGTTTTTACTCCTTCAGCGCTTCCTGTGTAACCTCTTGAAACAGTTCAAGACTTACGAAATTGGTGGCTCAGAATCTGCAGATTCGATGTCTGTAAGCTTCCATGTAACAGCAGTCTGCACATCACAAATTCTCCTTACTCATCTGTAAAGCAGTAATAGTCCAAGCCAAGACTGTTTTCTCAAACTGACTCCTAACAAGAAAGCTCCCCAGTGTCTGGAATTCTCTAAGCTATTTTAAGTTATAGGCGTGTCAAAAGTTTGTTTACAACTGTTTTAAGTTCTTTGTATGAAGACTGTTTGTTGTTGCATGACAGAGTCACTTGTGTATATTTTACACAGAGTAAGCTTAAAGTGATAATAATTTTTAGACTGGCAGCATGGAAAGTTAAGTTCTGGACTCTAAACCTGTAAACTTTACTCAAAAATAAGAAGAATATAAGCATTTGGTAACTTCCTGATTATAAATCTCTGGATCTTGCAGTTGCCTGAGTTTCTTTCCTGAGCTGCAGGAAGTTAAAGATCTGCTCGATAATGCCTGCCTGCAGAGTACTGTGTTAGGAGGCTTATTGTGTGCCTGTCTCTTGTTTATGCAAGAGAGGGATTTTTTGACTGACCTTGAATACACACAAAATTTCAAAGCAAATCCCAGGAACCTGTAAAGTATGTACTAATTAAGGGATGCCTTTCATGTGGTATGCCTGGAGTGTGAAATGATGCTAATGACCTACACTTGACCGTATTTGTTAATAAATTTTTGATTGAGAGAGATGTTGGAGTGCTGATTCTTCTGTCTGTTTACCTTTCCTTCTTGCTTTAGAGACTCACCTGATGGGCAATTGTGAACTTCTACTGTAGTGTTTTCTAAACCATAGCCAGAAGAATATTCTGGTATTGCACTTGGGGTCTTTGTGTTACTCTATTACCGAGAGTACGTTTACAGTGTCAATTCAGAGGTTATGATTCTATGGCTGTTTTGTTAAGCTGGTGAATACACAGCAGTGGCATACAAACAATCCGGAATTTCAGTCAGGA